GGTGGGAATGGGACAACTATATCCACTTTATCCACGGCTGGGATTCAATAGAGTCGAAGGCTTACTCGTAGATTATAAAAGCCAAACAGCGGAGAATATATCTACTCCTCTGACTTCTGCATCGATGGTGCAGTAATTGCAGTATAAGTAGATGGATATGTCGTGGTCCACCCACAGTATTGAATTCATTACAAAACCCTACCTATTTCGCTGTCTGGAAGGTTTGAAACATAATGCCAGACGATTCGTAATGGTCTTTCGGGGATAGCATAGACAATACACGTGGCTCATCATACGGGTGATCGCGTAAGTTTTTGGGGCGTTTTGTCTTCTGTTTGCAAACCCATTCCAAAACACATCGGATCCACGTCTTTAGGGATGTTTTATTTGGCTATTACAGAGTTAAATAGCCTCTTCAGCTATTAAGCGCAGATTTTTCACAACCAGCACATATAACGTGAATAACTAGTGCAACTTTAGCGGTCAGATGGACCGATCACTTGAAGATGGCAAATGGTTGATCTACCGCACACTGATCTACCTCGAGCTGTTGATGGAGGTGAGGGAGGCGACGCGACGGTGGTAAGGGGACAACTTTAACCACGTTAAATAGCACCAAAATTTCTTCGGTAGGTTCTTATAGGACCGTGTTTGTGCGGTTTTTGCATATTGCGTTCAATTCTTATTCTATTATTAGTTGAAATATATTTAAGCCGAAAAGTTAACTTTGTTTTTCATACAAAACATATGGAAAACATACTTGAATTTGCGGTTACTATAACTACTATAACAGCCACAACAGTCCACTGCTGGACATGCCATACTCACCACGCTTGGCAGACGGATTGGCGAGCGCATTGCAAGGTGTTGAAGATATTCACAGGGAACGCTGCTGCCCATTCCTTGGATCAAACCCTGGAATTTGCGGTTAATTGTTCTCAAATGTGGAGAGCAAAATCAGCTTTATTTTTATTTCTTTTGATTATGAATGGTCTTATTATCTCTTGTGTTTAATTTTGCAGTTCTATTCAACACACAAAGAAGATGTACGTACGCAGAAAGTAAGGGTATTTTTAATGAAAACTTATTTTTTACTACGTTAAATAGATTCTTTATGTTATTTTTACTCGAACACCAAACTTGCATTAGGACCTCAACTACATTAGTGAGAATTTTGTTTGTGCAGCGGCGACAGAAACACTTCCCTCTTACCTGCTCCGGGGGGCGGAACTCCTGGAAACCGGACTTTACCTACTAATATGTACCAAGACTTTACCTACTAATAATATGCCAAGTTTCACGCTTTAATCACAATCCGAAAGGTCTCCATACAAGCCTTCCCCTTACAAACCGGGCTATACCTACCTACCGAATTGATAAGCTTTTAACGATCGTGCCCAATATTTACTTCTGATATCATGTAATTATTGCATTCTCTAACTGAAAATTTCAAATATCCATATCTATTAAAGTTCCGAGTCATAAATCTACCGTGGATTTCATTAACAAGACTATTATAAGCTAGCACGAATATTTTTCAATCGACCTAGAGCTTTAAAATATTTATATTAAATTCAACATACATCACGCCTTTATCCCTTGCGGGGTATTCAATCTCTATTTAAAATTTTAACCCACAAAAATGGGTTATAATTGGGTTGAAACTGGGTGATTATTGGGTTTTAACCCACTTTTGGATTTTAACCCGGGTCATTACCCATCCCTAGTCATAATTCAATATTTTGGATGAAGTCAAAACAATAACTTTTATAGAAGTTTGGTGTTTATTTAATATTTTGGCAAACGATGAATGAAATCTGTAGTGTTTTTCAACAATTGTATTTAGCATACTTTTGTATTTTATTTATGACCCTGTCAAGTAGCGATTTGTTTTAGGGTTAATTTGCTTACTCTTAGTGAAATGCGGCGCCCCCCTCAGTTTGTCGTTCCTCTCCCTCAGCGCGTGGTACGTAGCCGCGAAGGCTCCGGGGTCATTCGCCTTCTCCGCATGAAGTTTAGCCGCGGCCAGTAGTTTGTATAGTTAGGTACTTACTTAATATAAGCAGGTGTTACTAGAGACCGATAGCGAAAACACAGAACCGGCTAGTGATAAGGAACAATTTTCCCCAAGGAACATCGGTCGAAAAAGGAAAAAAAAATATTGGCCTCCCATACAAAATTGCCGATCAGCTGTTTTGAGTTACTATGGGAGATCCAATTTTTTTTTATATTTCGTCTTATGTTCCATGGGGAAAGTTGTACAGTTTCATCAATTTCACCTCCTTTCGGCCCGTAATAACCATTTGTTACTCCTGGTATGAGTATAACTATAGAAAATGGTCAAGTGCAAGTCTTGTAGTGGTATAGTGCTTACTCTTAGTGAAATGCGGCGCCCCCCTCAGTTTGTCGTTCCTCTCCCTCAGCGCGTGGTAGGTAGCTGCGAAGGCTCCGGGGTCATTGGCCTTCTCCGCATGAAGTTTAGCCGCAGCTAGGAACTTGTATAACTTACTTAATACAAGTCTCTCTTCGGGTGGGACACCGAGTCGTTCAACGACCCGATGAACACTGGTATCAGAGTTTTTCAACTACTGCAAGTAGCAGGCCTCTGACGTGGTTGTGTAACGACTGCCATCATAGACAGCAACTGGGATCGACGGCTTAACGTGCCCATCCGAAGCACGGAACCATCTTGCTTTTCAGGTAGTTCAGCCTGCAATGTCCTACTTTATTTATTTGCTTACTCTTAGTGAAATGCGGCGCCCCCCTCAGTTTGTCGTTCCTCTCCCTCAGCGCGTGGTAGGTAGCCGCGAAGGCTCCGGGGTCATTGGCCTTCTCCGCGTGTAGTTTGGCCGCAGCGAGTAGTTTTTTGATGCTCTAAGCAATTTCTTAGTTTGGTTTAGGGTTTTGCTTACTCTTAGTGAAATGCGGCGCCCCCCTCAGTTTGTCATTCCTCTCCCTCAGCGCGTGGTAGGTAGCCGCGAAGGCTCCGGGGTCATTGGCCTTCTCCGCGTGTAGTTTGGCCGCAACGAGCAGTCTAAGACGTGATGTCTTGAGCAATCGGCTACTTGACAGGGTCATACTAATCAAATGTATTCTTTTTGAGAAATAAAGTATCTTGAACATACAAAAGTAGTATGCTTAAAACAATCGTCCAAAAATACTACAGACTTCATGAATCGTTTGCCAAAATATTAAAAGTTATAATTATTAAACACATAAATTATATAAAAGTTTTTGTTTTGACTCCATCCAAATTTCATATAAAATATCATTTTCGCTTGTCATAAAAAGTAGCTCATTTGACCTGCCTGTCAAGTAGCAGATTGCTTGGTTTCGTTTAGGGTTAATTTGCTTACTCTTAGTGAAATGCGGCGCCCCCCTCAGTTTGTCGTTCCTCTCCCTCAGCGCGTGGTAGGTAGCCGCGGGTCCGGGTCGTTGGCCTCTCTGCGTAGTTTGGCCGCAGCAAGTAAGTTTTTGATGCCTAAGCAATTTCTTAGTTTGGTTTAGGGATTTGCCTTTTAGTGAAGCGCGGGACCCTCAGTTTGTCGTTCCTCTCCCTCAGCGCGTGGTAGGTAGCCGCGAAGGCTCCGGGGTCATTGGCCTTCTCCGCGTGTAGTTTGGCCGCGGCGAGTAGTTTTCTGGCAGGCAGACTGTGCCAGACGTGCGCGCCGGCCTGCTTGGCGGCGCCGATCGCGGATATCGGCTCGTTCCAGCTCAGGAGAACTTCCACGATTTCCTGTTAAAAGGTAAAAGATTTATACTGGAACAAAATTATAAGTTCTAAGTACCTCCGCTGCATCAAGCAAATACACGCGTATCGGTCCGCGTGCGAAGTTCACTTTACTCAAAGCGGTACAGATGACGTGAGTGAACTTTGCGCGAGTGCTCGCATTGTGGGTATGCGCGTACAATGCGTGCCACGCAGCGGAGGCACTTAATAAATGTTTCACACGATGAGCTCGTAAAACAACGTAAGAGAGTAGGTGCGCCATTGTTTGCTCTGCACCGCAATCACACAAACCATTGTCGGATAAACCCCACTTCACTAGCTTTTCTCGGCATCTTCCAACACCCGCCCGGAGTCTGTTAAGACTTCCAGACTGCCCAGGGAAGGTCTGCCCAGCGGTACGTCTCCGCCAGTGGGCCAGGGTTGGTGCGTGTATTCTGCCCACTGCTCCAGTCTTAACGTAGAAGCGCCCTTGCTGTCTGGTGGAGGTTCACTGAGAAAACTCTTGCGGCTCTTAAGACGTGACTCAGGTAGACTTTGGCCTCACCTCGTAAGCCTTGAGCCGCCACATCATGTCTAGAGCGAGCTGCGCGGCGGCGGGCTGCAGGTGACCCAGGGATAGCAGCTGGCACGCCAGCGGCCGAGCGTCGCCCAGGCAGCCGCGGCGCACTGGGAAATGTAATAATTAATAATTATTTATACAGGGTGGTCCATGGAGTGACGTCAATAAAAATATATTAGATTCCTCACATCTTGGGGTATTCGAAAATACCCCATGTATGTTTCGCGACTATTTTTAGTTTCCGAGTTATTTAACTTTTAAAGTTGTATGGGAAAATCTCGACTGGCAGTCATTTTTCCTTTCCTTTTTTACTTCCCTATAAGGGCTTGTCGCGCAGTTGATTTCATAGCACATTCCTTATGATTTATACTTTTTAGCGTTAAAAAAAGGAAAAATGTCTGCCATTCGAGTATTTCCCATACAACTTTAAAAGTCGAATAACTCGGAAACTAAAAATAATCGCGGTACATACATGGGGTATTTTCGAATACCCCAAGATGAGAGGAATCTAATTTATTTTTATTGACGTCACTCCATGGACTGGACCACCCTGTATAATGCAGTCAACAGGTATACATACGATCTTATGGTAAATTATAATAGTTTGAATTCCTTCTGTAATGTGGACTAACCAGGTAATAAAGTTGTAAATACTTTCTACAGATGTCGCTAGATCGTCGCTTCGAGCATCAAGAGATTGAAATTTGACGCGCATCGATAGCTCAGTGGCAGAGCGGTGGGGTGTTTAGTGTTTACCCATGCAAGCGCGGGTTCGATCCCCGGTCGTTGCATGTCATTCTTCAAATACTTCTTATGCATTGCGAGCGCAGCGAGCTCGACATTTTGGGCCATTGAATACCAAGTTTTAAAACACTTCTCGTGTTAGGTAAACAATTTTTGGAAAACTTCCAAAATTTCACCGCAGGCAGGATTCGAACCTGCGACCTCCGGCATCAGTACTGCCGACGCCGGACTAATCGAGCCCGCGAAATTAAGGAAGTATATCTTGTCCACTATCGCGTGGCTCGATTAGAACCGCGTTAGCCCAGTTGGTTAGGTAGGGCGTCGGCAGTACTGATGCCGAAGGTCGCAGGTTCGAATCCTGCTTGCGGTGAAATTTTGGAAGTTTTCCAAAAAAATTTTGGGCCATACGACAAAAAAGTCAGAGAAGTGCTGAACGCGTGTTTAAAATAAAATATCACTCAATAAAAACGCTAAACACTTGTTCATCTTTTTTGTGATAAGGTCGATTACTTTTACAAATAAGAAGCTGCACTTGGTTACGACAGTAAGTACTTCACGTATTGCGAGCGAAGCGAACCCGACATTTCACATTAAAATAGTCCAATGAAAAACGTAATGATCATAAATCAGCTATAGTACAATTTTTGCTTGAATTAATACATCAGGATTCCCAGATAGATCTGAATGGGTACGTATTGTTCACCTACCTAACGATTTGAGCCTGCCAATAGCGCCGCGGGTGACCAGAGTCCTCACTGCCAACTCCGCAACGGGATGTTGCACTACCATGTCGTGGCGGGACAGAGATGCAATATACGCCGTCACCACCTGAAAGACAAGGACGATGAAGAAGTTGACCAATTTGACCCTCGTGCTCGATTGTGTAAAAGATGAGGTAAAAGAGCCTTTAGTGCCTTTGCTGCGTAAGGCAAAAGTACGCGCGTACCGCTCCACGTTCTTATACTCGAAGCGGTATAGTCCAGCAAAAAAGAGTAGAAATTAAATAAAATGGAACTAAAAAAAATTCATACTAAATTGTTGCCATTTATAGCCAATGTTGACATTTAATTGAAATTTTATACATAGTGGCGCCCTCATTTTTTGTCTACTCTTTTTTGCTGGACTGTACAGATGACGTGAGTGACTACGCGCGAATACGCGCGTACAATACGCACTACGCAGCAGAGGCACTAATGAAGTAAAACGCAACGGGAATTTATAAAAGAAACATCGTCATTTTAAAACATCGTGCACCTGGAAGTTTAGAAAAATATTATCATCGTTTTTTTATAACATGTTTGAACACGCAATGTATTAAACGTATAGAATGTGTGGTATAAAGGAAAGTACTATAGTTCGACAACTTCGTGCGCGACCTTCCTGCGGGGTACAGACGGTTGGGGGGCGAGAAAGCACGTCATTTTAATATGACGTGCGGCGCGGATGCGCGTGTGTCCCTTCCCCGCTACACCTCCCGCTACCCGCTGACATCTCCCTCCCCACGTCTGTCTCCCCTAGGGAAGGTCGCGCACGAACTTGTCGGACTATAGTTTTCTTTAGACCCTGTAGTAGGTACCTGCAGTGCGCAGTCGTCGTCGGAGTGGTGCAGCAGCACGTGTCCGCACATATCTGGTTGTGAGATGAGCACGCGGTAGTGCACCGGCGGCCTGTCCGCAGCTCCCCCCGCACCCACCCCCGCCGTGTTCCTAGCCACCTCCTGGTCGGCCCATTTGCTGGAACACCGAAATATATCATTATCTTCCTGCCCTTATCCCAATTACATGGGGTCGGCGCAAAATGTTTTGTTTGAACACAAAATTATGTTGCAATAGGATTTGGCGTAGTTTTACGACCGGCCACCTGCCTAACGTCAACCCTTTTTGAGTTGGGTATTACCACCACCATACGGTTGACCATGGTCGGCCGGAAATGTAGCCAAGGTCAAAAACTCTACGTCGCCTTTTACGAAACACCCTGAATAGAATAGGGGTAGCAGAATTCTTAGCCGCTACCACACGACCAATACGTTATAAAATTCAATGCGTTATAATGATTAAGAGGGGCGCTACACTTTCCTACAACAACACAACATATTGCGAGCGAAACGAGAGAGTTGTTTTACGGTCAAATAAGTGCTACAAGAACAGAATAAATGTTGCAAGCGAAGCGAGCGAGTAGAGTGATACTACACTGCGAATAAATGTTGCGAGCGAAGCGAGCGAGTCGTTTTACTTTAATGTTATTGATAGTGATACTACACTGCGCTACGACATTACAAAGAACGTTGAAACGGAGAGTGGTGCTATGGTGCTACACTTTTCTACACCAATAAAAATCTTATTGCGGGTGCGAAGCGAGCTCGTTACATTATCATGGTATAATAGATAAGGTGCATGCACTACCTATTTAAAGAAAAGGGTGGCAACTTTTCTGCTGCCGTCCTTCGACTCGCAACTTACCGATAGACAGAGTTGATTTCATCGAACACTTTGGACACTTCGACGAGATACTTGCTCGCCTCGCCGACCAATTGGCCGAGTATTGAGTAGATGGCGGCCTTCCCGTCCGTCCGCCTCAGTAACACTGCCACTATCTTGGAAATCTCCTCTTTTGGTATCTGGAACCATGAGAAAATAGCATTTTTGGATACAAGACCTATTAGAAAGTAAATGTTTCATAGAAGGAACAAGTTTTTTGGAGATTAATTTTTAATTATGAATAGGCGTTTTTTGTACACGTCCATAGGCTTTTAGGGATTAGCTGTCAAATTTTGATACTTATTCCATCTTAATATATGGCGGCGTAGAACGCCATCTTGCGGTTTAGTTTCTCCAAAAAAAAACCGGCCAAGAGCGTGTCAGACACGCCCACAAATAGGGTTTCGTAGTCAACGTTTAAATATCAGGTTTTTCAGCATTACAAACTTAATTTTGTTGCTGGTTTGTTAGCAGCAGTATGATGACCAACCGCAAATAGAAAAACTCAATTTTTCCTGAAACCTTTAAGGGTACGATATCCGTTATAGTTTTCATTGTAACTTTAGATTGTAAGCTATATTCCATATTTATTTTAAATTTTTAGCGTTTATACTTTAGAAGTTACAGCTGGAACAAATTATGGGTCAAAAACGCCCTTTTTAAAAGCAAATATCTCGTGACAGAAACATGTTAGAGAATTTGTTTCAAAGAAACCTCGCCTTAATTTTAAAATACCTATTCAACGATATTCTACTCAATATTACAGAAGAAAAAAAATTTTTTTGCCCCCCTTTCAATTGTATGGGAGGGGGTCCAAAAAACATTTTAAATATTTTTTTCTTAACATTTCTATATTTGGGTCAACACGATCTATCTTCTTACCAAATTTCATGTTGATAGCTCTAAAACTGACGAAGATATGAGGGCGCGGCATACAGACAGACAGACAGACAGACAGACAGACAGACAGACAGACAGACAGACATGACGAAACTATAAGGGTTTCTAGTAGACTACGAAACCCTAAAAAATTATCTGATATAGATTAAGCCAGTCAAAAGTGAAAGTTTAGGAAGTCATGTGAAACTATGAAATTTTAATCTTCTATACATATAATAAAGTTGTAGAGGGTCGAAAGTCTGTACATAGAAGATTTTCGAAAAAAAACTGTTTGGTGATACTTAAAATTGATAACAGAACACGTTTCAGAAATTTTTAGATTTTTTTTCTGTTTATCTGTTTATTTGTTTATCTGTTTGTATGTGAAAGCATCACGCAAAAACGACTGAACCGATTTTGATGCAAATTATACCAAAATGTCGGGAAAATTACCGACCAGGTTATAGGCTAAAAAAATTTGACCCCTAAAAGGGGGGGTTGCCACTATACTTGAAATAAGTTTGCACGTAAATCGATATTGCGTGCGTTGCGTGCGGTAGAGGAATAAGTTACTATAAGATGTAAAAAAAACTACTCAAACTATTCCAAGGGGTGAACCAGTCCATGAAACTGAACAACTTTCCCCAAGGAACATAGGTCGAATAATGAAAAAAAAATTCCTTCCCTTCCCTACAAATGACATTGGGACCTTTAGTATGGACAAAATACCCACTGCGAACATTAATGAATTATGCCTCATTTTAAAGCCTAAGCCGCCTTGTTATAGCAGGTAAAGGCGCATTATTGTGAGGGATGGGACTATTAAGATATTTAATAATATAGGTATATATCTTAACACTATACTCCAGATTAGCCGGCTAGTCGCTCTCGCGTTCGGAAGTTTTTGTTTACGGTTCCCGCCTACCTTCGGTAGTCATGTAGGGCTCTGTCGAGCACAAGTAACCCCGGCCAGCGAGTCTCACCTGGTGTACTCCAGAGTCTTGCGCCCCGAAGGCATGCTACGCTTCACGCTTATTATTAGGCTTCTTAACAGCTTCGAAAATGCCCTTCAAGGGCCACCAGCGCCCCGCAAATGGATCGCGAATGTTTGTCCGCACGAACCCGTAAGCCGCCTTGCAGCGCGTTATGAACGAACTCGCGGCTTGTGCCATCCCTCGACGCCATCCACGCTGGGATCAATGGACCCCCGCTGGTATCTTCGCCACCGACGGCCACCGCAGCAGCGATAACCACTGCCTTCGCCGCCGCGCCTCCACTACCGCCACTCTCTGCTTCTCCCTCGCCGTCTCCGCTGTCCCAGCGTAAGCCGAGGGACAAAAAGCACTTCGACCTGCTCGCCCTACAGCGCACCTGAACGCTCTCAGGGAGAGTGCTACAGCCGTACAGATGCGAGCGCAGACCGCGCAGCGCGCCAAGTGCCGAGAAGCGCGCACATGGATCAACCTCACCGACCCCGCCGAGGACCCGCACGGTTCCGGCTATGAGGGTCACACCACCGCTGTCCAGGCCCCTGCTGAACGGCTCGGGTACTGGAGACAGCCCAGCGACGACATCAAATATCCTATGCGTCCACGCTAACGACGCCTAAGTCTGCGCCCAGTAAGCCCAGGAAAGACGCCATCAAGACGCCGCCGCCTGCACCCAAGACATCCATGAAGATGAATGGGTGC